TACCAATCTTTCAGCAAAACAGTTATCATCATTTATCCACGCCAAAGCCCATTCAGCTTTGTGTTGCACTGATGGTATCGTTTCGATGGCTTCGAATATTCTCTCCTTCTCCTGAGCATCCTCGATGAACGTGTCTATCAACAACGAGTATCTGGCAAGATTCGGACCTACTTTGAATCTTCAGTTCGGCAACCTCCAAAAATATCTTTGCGGCGCAAAGTTAAAATTTTCATTTTTGCGAAAATATTTATCAACATGATAACAATGTAAATCGAATGACACCAACGTTTTAGAAATGTTCCAAAGTCTATAATCGTTTTCCCAAATATTGGTTCGCATTGTAGATAATTCACATGAGTACTTGTGTATTTTTCACCCATCTTAAAACGTTCGTGAACGATTGTGATACTACACAGTAAAATTTCACTCATGATGAAAACTTTGGATATAACATTATCAACAAAAAACCATTGAAATTGGAGAAATTGTAATTTTTTCTGAGAAAAAAACGCAGAATTTTCAATAACGAAATTTTTTCCTGATAGGAATTCGTAATATTCGTGAAATTAGCAAAAATTACAATATTTTGAGTTGTTAAAATCGAACACACTCTAGATTTTTCTATGAGAAAAAATAGGCTCAAATTGGACCTGATTTGAATCTTTACCACTGGGCAAGGTTAGTATCTTACGTTTCAGAGTGTATAGTCTCCATGCCAGTTTGGAAACCATAGAAAGCTCTGGCCTCGGGGATCTGCACTTCACATGAGAATTTCGAGGCGAGGTTCTCCATTACTATACCATCACTAGCTGCGAAGAAGGCAAGCACCTGATAGGGGACACGGTAATATGATGATGAACAATAACAATAACAACAACAACAACAACAACAACAACAACAACAACAACAGCAACAACAACAACAACAACAACAACAGCAACAACAACAACAACAACAACAACAACAACAACAACAACAACAACTACAACAAGAAGAACAAGAAGAACAACAACAACAACAACAACAACAACAACAACAACATCACTATGATGATGATCAACACCGTCCCTTACATTCTTAATAAAGTGTTGTTCATTCTTAGTAAGAGTTTCCCAATCCCTCAAGTCTTGACCTAAATCTATCTCCTCAGCTGTCCAGAACGATGCCTCGTGTTGCTTGTACCTACAACAACAGTTCTTGGAGTAGGAATATATGTAATCGCTTTCCTCAGCTACTGAGCTCAGGAGTTTCCTATACAGTGTTGGAGTAGGAATATATGTTTGCTTTCCTCAGCTACTGAGCTCAGGAGTTTCCTATACAGTGTTGGAGTAGGAATATATGTAATCGCTTTCCTCAGCTACTGAGCTCAGGAGTTTCCTATACAGTGTTGGAGTAGGAATATATGTTTGCTTTCCTCAGCTACTGAGCTCAGGAGTTTCCTATACAGTGTTCGAGTAGGAATATATGTTTGCTTTCCTCAGCTACTGAGCTCAGGAGTTTCCTATACAGTGTTCGAGTAGGAATATATGTTTGCTTTCCTCAGCTACTGAGCTCAGGAGTTTCCTATACAGTGTTGGAGTAGGAATATATGTAATCG